AGAAATAATGAAAAAAAATGCATATCAAATAAGCGCTCATCGGTAAATCCTAAATTAGCTCTTTAACTTTTTAAATGAGCTCCTATAAATTTGACCTAATATACAAAACACACAATAATTAAACAGATTAATGGATAAAAAAAAACCAAATTTAAATGACTAAAAGCTACGCCTGAACACGTCCAAACCACATCGATGTAAAACCTGAGAACTGATTTCTTTTTTTTTTTTTTTTACAGCTATAATTACAGCATTTGTTGGGAAACTAAAGCTTCATCCAGTTCTGACTCATTAGCTTACATAAAAACTGGGCTGACATGTTGTGAAACATGAAACTGTTGCATCAGGATCCTTTATTTAATTCATCAGAAATACCCTGCGAGTCATCAATAGAAGACTGTCTTAGATTTTGCATTTCCAGTCCTGATAAAGTCCATTAAAAACAAGACCGCTCACTTCCTGAACACCCCACAGACTGAATCAATACCTGAGGACACAGAGGAAGTGGCGGTTGTTACCGAACTGAGCTTTCCCAGGAGACGGAACCAGAACAGGTGCAGCATGCAATCAATAAAAGACACATCTGATGTGTTTGGAGACTTGAAAAATGTTTAAAGTGAAATTTCTTTTATTTGAAAAAGATCCCGAAATGAGCAAAGTAAGCAACAATGGATTGTATAAATATCTGTGCAGCCGAAACGGGCACAGCGAGGCACTTCACTGCCTTCTGCTGCCACCACAAACCAAACTATCCACGTCCAGCTACACAACTCTGGAGATTTATTCATTCCGTCAGTTCATGTATGATCTAAAACATAAAAAACAAGAAGTCATCTGGAAACACAAAAGGAGAAGATGGTAGAGAGGAGGAGGAGGAGGAGGAGGAGGAGGAAGGGGATCTTTGAGGGTTCGTTAAGGGCGTTAATTCTTTACAAGCTGCCATGTGAGTTCAGCAGTAGGTGAGGGAAGCAACACCGAAGCAAGTCTGGGGAGGAGGGAGAAAAAACAACTCATTCACACAAGTTGTCTGGACCAGTGCTGAATCAAACAAAACCCTGACAATCACTTTCTGACATTCTTCTGCAGTGCTTTGGCCCAAAACCCCCTCATGGCACGATGACCGGGACACAACGGCTCCCAGCAGCAGGTGAAGAGAACCATCAGAGCTCACGGTAGTGTTTTTTAAATGCTTGTTGTGAAACCACTCGGTTAAAAAAAAGTTTCTCCCTCATACAGAGTACACTGACAGGTTGGACAGTAACCCAGGTTTTATTCTGATGACCCCGACCTGGTCGCTAGTCCCACATGATTTGTTTTTTTTTTAACCGCTGCTGAAGTGAGAGAACAAATCTGAACCGGTGTTAAGGTGGAGTATGAAAAAGCACCTACTAACGCGACCGCCTCCTCGCCGCTCGCTTCGTATATTACATCAATTTACACAGAATCACCACTTTCAGAATACATTCATCTGTTTTTTGTTTTGTTTTTTGTAAAATTATCACAGCGACAAAAACAAACAAAAAAAATCCACCTCGCCGCCCGAATCAGCCGAGTCCTCTGGGAAGGAACACGAACGGAGTGATGAAGACCACAATCGTTTAATATCATCATCATCATCAGCCATCGTTCTCACTATCAGCGCACGTCGTCACGTCCAAAAGAAATAAATACATATATAACAATATGGTAACACTGAAGTCTGGCGGGCGGCGGCTTCAGACGCCCAGCTTGTTGGCGATAGTCATGACCACTTTGAGGATTGGCATGAAGGAGGAGATCTCGCTGAAGTTGCTGCTGCCCACCACCTGCGTGTGGACCTCCAGGCCGCGCTGGTAGTTCTGGCTGGCCACGCAGCGGCTGATCTCGTGGAGCCCGTTCAGGATGTTGGGAGAGAGCTGAGAGGACAGCAGGAGGAAAGAAAATATATTATCAGGAGACAAGAGACGGCGTTGGATTGAGCTCATCGCTGCTGCTTCTGTTAGCTCTTCATTCAGACAGTAGCTCCTCATGTGTCCTCTGTCAGGGACTCACAGGACATCACATCTGCTGTTTCCTTCCTCAGTGCAGTACACAGAGTAGCCCATAGTCCCCGACAGACACCATGTTTGTTCACTAGTGTGGTTCTGGAACTGCTCTGATTGAGGACTACGATCGATCACCTCCAACCTCAACAGCACCCGTTGTTCACCGAGGTTACACGTTAGCGCTGGCTGAGCATTTGGGGCGCAACAGCGACAGCTTTTCTATCCATCCATCATCTCTACACCTTAATCCTCACTAGGGTCATGGGGGGCTGGAGTCTAACCCAGCTGACTCAGGGTGAAGGCAGGTTCACCTGGACAGGCAACCAGTCTATCACAGACCCCCTTAAAAGGACGAGTTCTTGCTGATCAATACAAATTTGTTCCGACCGAATGCTAATTTAGGCTAATGCTATATTTCAGAAAAAAGCAGGAATATATTCAAAAGAAATGCGATGTGGGTCCACCTCCACAACACAACGCTGTGGAGACACGTGTGACTGTCAGGCTGCATCATATTCACTAACTGCTATGAGATGACGAGGTTTTCTAGGAAAAAAGGGTCAGTTCACCCAAATCACACAAAACATTTTCTCTGTTTCCTCTGGTCTGAGTTCATCACGTATTAGTTTGACCTGCCTGAGGAGAGCTGTACGCCTTCTCAGAGCAACGAGACTGATCTGAAAAAAGTCGCCCGTGTCCGTTTGGTTACTCAGTTTTTTTTGATTCTTCTAAACAATCGCTGCACGTGGACATCGAGGAGAAAACACTCGCTCAGCGGTTACACCCTCACACTGAAGCTTTAAATAAGAGGGACAATCAATCAGGTCTTAACTTGGAGCAAAGCGCTCCTCTTCATCATAAAGATCTTAAACCATTCTTACCGACTGCTCTCTCAGCTTATCGTACAGGTGCCCCAAACGTTTGGCTGCGTCGTCCAGCTTCCTTTTAGTTTGCTGGAACGAAAAGATTTTTGGTTATTTTCTGACCAATAAAGCTATTTTTACCCCTCCTTCAACCAACACAAACTTCAGAACAAACCCGGCCGGCGGCGCCACTCACCGGGTCTCCCGCCGCGAGCTGGCAGCGCTGCACCAGGCTGTCGAAGGTGGATTTGAGGACCATGTGCTCAGCGGGGATTTCCTTCTGCTCCACCCTCTCTGCCGGCAGCTGCTGGAGAAGCTGAGCAACACAAGCGCACAAACACAGAGCGATGACGTACGTGAGCCTGTCGAGGATTCGGGCGGCAGGGTTCTGATTGGACACCTACCTGCACGCTGGGCTCCTGGGGGGCTCCAGGGGGGACCTGGGTGTGATCCAGAGACTGAGCAGCCTCCACCGGGAATCCCATCACAGGGGCCGTGATGGGCGCTGGTGGAGTGTAGTTGTCAGGGACCTGCGTACACGCAAGAACATTTATTATTTAGTGACAGGAAGGTTCTGAACACAACCGGACAGGAGCTCAGATGTGATTTCCTGGGATTTAAAGTCTATGAACGAAGGAGGAGACGTTAAAGGAGCAGATGAGGTTGGTGTCCTGAACACGGGTCATGGGTCCTGGTCTAGAAAAGCTCAGTTTTCATTTTAGCTCGACTCAATCAAAATGTTTTGTAAGGAAGAATCAAGAGCTGCTGCAATAAATACTTAATCCTGCATTTAAAGAGTCTTTGTTTTGAAATTTCATTGACTCATTTACAGCAGCGGTCTTCAACCTTTTTTGCTCCACAGACCGGTTTTATGCAAGAATTTTTTCTACGGACCGGTCGCTGCACACATAACAAAAAAATCCGATTTCTTTCTATTAAAAAGTTTCAAAATGGCTTTCTAAATATGTGTTTACTTTGTCTTCTGGACCGACGGCTTCGTTTAACAGCGAGCGTGAAAACTGACAGTCGAGTGCAGGAAAACAAGCACAGACGGACGTGACGGGAAGACGAGCTGGTGCTTTTTCAAAATAAAACACCCTGCAGACTGCGCTGGAAATAAAAATAAAACAATAACAGTTTTTTTTTTCCTTTAGTTGGGGAGCGCTGATGGTATCTGATGGTAGTGAAACGTGAGTAAATTGTGTGCATGAGATCTTCATAGTGGTTCTTAATGGCTATTCTAAGTCATGAGTACAGTCGTATTTTTAAACAGATCCCTGGGGTTAGTTGTCCCAGACCTCTAGATACCAACCCAGCAAATCACCAGGTGCTCGACCCATTAGGAGGAGAGCTGCCACTAACGGGCGTGTCTGGTGGAGTGATTCGACTACTGAGGCTACGTAGCTGAGTCAACTATCAGAAGAAGCCAGGTAGACGTCTGGATTAAGGCAGTTAGAAGCTAGGCCAGTTTCCTCGACACCAGCTGAAGCAGTTCTACAGAACCCTAGCAGGTCCAGGGCCTGTAGGCAGCTAGAACCTGACCCGGACCAGGAGCCCTGTTACAGGAGCTACACCGGTGTGGATCAACTCTTTGCTATTAAAAGCCACATTTATTGATTTCTTTTGGGCCACACAGAAGCCAAAAATGAGAGAAACGAGTAGCGTGAGGCACATTTATCAGAGCTGCGCCGCTGAAAATATTTCCCCTCTGCTCCTGTAAATTAGGTTAACGAGGGCAGAGCCGTAATTCTCTGTCGTAGTAATTGAACACATTGTTAGTATTAAAATATTCATCAGTGGAGCTTGAGGAATAAATGATTAATAACTGAATTACTGACTTCTAACAGTGCTGGAATATTTTACAGCTTCAGTATCAGTGTGACAGAAACAGAAAGACACCTGGTGGTTGGATGGAGCTTGTGTAGGAAGGCTGTGTGGACACTCAGGCATGTGGTTTGCAATAAAACCGGCTTGGTAAGGTTTTTCCTTTGCATGTGCGGGCATAAACACAGCTGGGACGACGCAAAACTGCAGGACTTAGCGGTATTTGGACAGTAATAAACCTTCGTACCTTCTTCTTCCTGGGTCCACCTCGTACTGCTGGCGGGTCGTTCCAGCCCTCCTGAGGCCCTGAATCATACGAAGAGTAAAAGTCAGAAAGAAACCAGCAGCTGTTTTTTTCTTTAGACACACTCAAGATGCCAAAGAGTGTCTACACAGGACAGCCTCTTTGAGCCGAGGTTAGTTACAAAACACTGCAAGTAAACGTGTGATGAAGCCGATCGAAGCAGAAACAAAACGGCAAACACGGCAGAATATTCAGGCAGCATTCTGAATCACTCAAACGCTGAATGACTTCTAACATCTCTCATATATCTGATTAAAGCTGCATGTATGAGCTGCACATGTTTGTGTCTCTGTTTGTAATTTTAATAAATTCATGTGTGTGTTTTTGTTAATGGATCGGAACCAAATGATGTGAAAGAAAACCTGCAGTTAAGCCTAGAAACGTGTCGTATCTGCTTTAAAGCTGACATTCACACAAATAAAACAATTCTTAAGTCTCTACATTTCCCTCAAGCGTAGGGCGACACAAGCAGCCACAAAGAGACCGGAAAAACGGAGAAACCCTGTACGATGGAGAGCGAGCCAATTCCAAACAACTAGTCCCATTAGCGTACAGGTGTTTCTGTTTTTCGGGTCGCTCTGTGCGTGGTTCTGATGTGCCCCCATTCCATATCCAGTCCTAACCCTGTCACCTTCAGTGTCAGTCTGGGAATTCAGCCAAGGAAAGTATCCTGCAAGTCAGAAGAGGAGCGACAGCTGAATGATAGTGAATCACCATGACACTGTACAGATCTGTCTCTGACTTTAAACACTTAAACATGTGAAAACAGAACGAACATGAATAAACTGAATAATGAATGAATGATGATGTGATTCGATTATGACCGACACGGCGTGTACCTGTCGGAGGAGGAGCGACGGCGGCGGTCGGTAAGGGCTTTACAGCAGGAGCTCCAGGGCCTCCTTGAGGATACCCTGATCCCAGAGGAACATAGGGTCCAGAAGCGATGGGGGGTGCAGGCCCCTGGTTGTGGAGGCCCCCCGGGTACATGGGAACCGGGGCTCCAGGCTGGGAGCTGGGTGGCATGAGGCCTGAAGGCAAAGAGGTAGACGGCATGAAGCCCGTCGGTGGCACCCCGGGGCTGGGCATGGGGGGCAGGCCTCCGGTGGTCGACGACGAAGGCGGCAGCTGAGGTCCTGATAAGTTAGCAGCCGGCATAGAAGGACCTGGAGGAGGGAAGGATAAGGGTCCGCCAGTGGACATAGGCTGAGGCTGGAATGGCTGATGAGGAAGGAAACCTGGGAAAAGATCACGACATCAAATAAACAACCAGATCAGAAATAAAGGAGATCATCTCAAGCACCGTGCAGATGGTCACACCTGGAGCCGTAGCAGGATGCTGGGGGTAGGGAGGTCTCATGACAGGGCGGGTGGCGCTGGGCGGCAGAACGTGAGCAGAGGGAGGCAGACCAGGCCCTGGGTTGGCCGGAGCAGTTTGAGGGGTAAAAACTGATGGCATCGGAGGCTGCTGTTGGGCAGCCACTTGGGAAGGAGCAGATGGCTGGTACTGACTCTGAGGTTGGAAAAAAATAAACCCTTAATTGGCACTAAGCTCATAATCGTACATATGAGGTATTTTGGCACAAACACGTTGATAATTTATTGTACTGCTACAAATACATTGATACCATGATTTGTGCTTTTGGTGCAGGAGTCTGAGCAGCAGGAGCTGGCTTCGCTGTGGACGCGCCAACTCTGTTGAAGGAGTTTGGAGGCTGTTGGACGGCAGCAGCCTCTCCCTGAGCATGAAACAGCCTGTCTCTCAGCATCATGATCCCAGGCTAGTGAGACGAAATGCGGTCATTACAAACCAAACAAAGCAAAAATGATTCATTTTGGGTTTTGCAATTAGGTCAGTGCTGTGCCTCTTACTTGCTCTGAGTTCTCGGGCAGATAGGTCATGGCGGTGCCCAGGCTGCCCTCTGCAGCCAGTATGCCGGCGTAGCAGGTCAGCTTCTCGGCCAGGATGGGGCTCTGGACCGCCACCTCGCTGTTGCGGAGGCGTTCGATTGACTTTCGCAGCATCATGACTTTCTCAACCAGATCCTGAAGAATACACAGAAACACAAGCCGTTAGACGACCACGTTCTTCTCTTTTAGGATCAAACTGCTGCTAATGTTGGTACGTTTCTATTCAGGAATGGGATCCTTCTGAAAAAAATTACCTTTGGACACGTAAAATGAAAAACATACACATGCTTGGTGCAGCAGCAGAGTAGTTAAAAACTTTGTTCACATCAAGAACAGACGATAACATTAAAATTATACCTCTAGACCAAGTGGAGAGGAGCAGTCTCTATGCAGGGCCCAGCACTCTACCAGCTTCTCAATGTTCCCCGAGCAGATGTAGCACAAGCAGGCTTGCAGGCAGCGCTTCTCGGTACCCTCGCCCTCCAACCGGCCTCCCAGGGTGTCTACGGACACGAGTTAGAAAACAAAACAATGTTGGACAAACACAAGGCTGAAATCAGAACACAAACAGATGTGGTGCTCAGAAACTGGCTGTGCAGTTCTAGAGAGTGCTGCTGAAACTTGTGAGCAACTCACCGCACAGACGAGCAAAATCTTCAGGGTGAGCGTAGGTCAGCAGAGCAGCCAGAGCCTCCTTCCAGTTGTCCAGCTCACAGCTCTGCACGATGTCTCTCCAGTTCTGAGTCACCACTGATGATATGAGCTACAGTTGGAGACAAATACATTAACACACCGGGAAAATATTCTCCCCTTGTGGTTGTTTGAAGCCCAATCGGTGACGCTCCTACCATTGAAATGCTGTTCTTCTGCTTGCTGAGATACTTCTGCTGAGTCTTCTTGAGCAGCTCTTCTCCTCCGCTGATTGACAGCAGGATGGCTTCAGCGTAGCGGCCGTCGTTGAGACACAGATCCACAGCTCCCTCGAAGTTGCCGACCAGCAGTGCCTGGCTTATCAAACCATCCGTATCTTCAAATGAAAGATATGGTCAATTAGCCACCAACCCAGGAACACAAACTGCAGCTATCAAAACAGCGACACAGGGTAAATATCCTGAGCCCTGATGTGCAAATTTCCCGTGACGTTGCATATTTGCAGAGGAGGGATTTTACCACATGACACAGGGATCTGGAAGTTGGAGTTTTCCTTCGGCGTCTGACTGAAGAAGTCTGCTGGTGAAACAGAACCTGACGTTCTCGCGTCGGCTGCTGCAGCTGCTTCGTCGGCCCTCTGGAGAAAGCAAAGACTGTGCATTAGGGATCCAACACGACAAAGGTTTGAAGATCAAGACGGTTTGTGCACGCTTGCTGACCTCAGTGGAGAGGCGCTGCATCTTCTCTGCCAGGTCTCTGGCATCTACTCCGTGGCCGTTGGGTTGGAAATTCTTCCCCAGGCATTTTGAAATCTGTGTCAGTGCAACATTTTTAACAGGTAAAACACATGATATGACCCAGAGGTACATCGCACAAATACAGATTTTAGGATAAATTTTTAACATCAGTGATTAGTGAGAACGAATACCTTTCTTTCCAATTCATCTTTGCTGAAGCCCAACAGTCTGAGGAACTTAATGCGGGCCTCATCCTCAAAATTAACCTGTGAAAGGAGATTGTGAATGAGTCTGAAGTCTAACACCACGCTGACTAACAGACTTAATGCTGTGTCTGAATGTCAGGAGGGCCCACCAGAAGGAACTTCCATATGTCCTGCTCAGCGTCTGACTTGGCGTTCTGAATCTTGGCCTGGCAGTAGTTGTTGAAGGAGCCCGACTGCAGCGCTGCCTGCAGCTCCCTGGAGCGCTGGAGGAACTCGGTCTCCGTGGTAACCTGGCTCACAAACACTTGTCTGGGGACCGGCTGGGGGCTCTGCACCGGAGGCAGCTTGGGATTCTCAAAGGTTATCAGCTTTCCACCAAACTGAGAAACAAAACAACAGCAGGTCACCCACAAAGAAAACGAGCTCCTCGTCCATTACTGTGCATACAGAATATTTCTAATTTTACACTTACAGCAAAGGAGGCTCCCACTGGCCTGCGCACCCACTTAGGCGGCTTCTTCAGAGGAGGAACTATGGTGTCCTGCACTGAAGGCTGAGGAACCTGCAGGGGAGGCAGCACCTGCCCCGTCCCAAAGGGATCCATTGTGTCGAATGAGGAGGATATCTGGTAAATAACACACGACAGGTTAAACCAAAGCACATCTTTGAGGTGGAGCTGAAACAACTAGTGGCAGAAAATTTACCACCAGCTTCTCAATTTATAGACTCAAGATGTGAAAACGTCTGGATTCTTTAACACGAGTATCTGCTTTACTCTGAAGCTTTCATGAAGGTATATTGAGTATCTATGGAAGCGTACATACGTCTACTTGTGCACTGCAAAGGTGTGATTAACGTCTAGCTGCTTCTTCTCCTGACGAAATAATTATTCAACCAATTAAGAAAATAATCTGCAGAATGACAAATTAGAAAAATGAGAATTTCTTGCACCTATGCACCAGGTGATTCCTCTGAAAGTCCAGGCAATGATGCACCTACCCTTAAGATTCAGTGTTATAATTTGTTAATGTATTCAAGAGTCTCTGTTACTTGTGTCACACGAGCACCATCTTGTGGACAAACGCTGTAGTTCAACACATTTTTTTTCGATTAAATATATCACATAAGACAGAACAGCCATTACCCTATCAGCTGTGCTTTGCTGCTGAGCTTTCAGGCTCCCTCCCATCACAGAGTAAACAGTAATTCTCCCATCAAACGATGCTGTAGAGAGCAGGGCTGGATTCCTGGGGCACCACTGGACATCAAAACACCACTGGTTTGCGGTTGGAAGCTCATAAATCACCTAAAAATGGAGGAGAAGACGGCTGTGATGATCCATGAAGGAACGGTCATGTAGGGGTGACACAAGAGCAGCAGGTAATGTAACACACCTCTCCAGTGTTTGGATTCCAGCAGAGGATCCGGTTGTCTTTAGCGCTACTCAGCAGGAGCTCAGAGTCGGCGGGGCTCCAGGATATGGACAGAATTCCCCTGAAAGAAAACACAGAGAGGGTACATGCAGTACAATCTGCAGGGTGACAAGAAACACAGATATCAGCACGACATCCAGACTACCAAAGCCTCACCTCGTGTGGTTCTCGAGGACTTTTAGAGGTGATGTGGCAAAACGGAGGTCCCACATCTGGATGACGGGCAGTCGGTCATCTTCAGAGGCCAACACCAGCTGAGTAGCCACGTCAGGGTGCCAGAGCATTCCTGAACAGTGCATCTGAAATCACAGAACAGAGGACACTTAAAACGATGAAAAACACATTCTTGAGATGTCACATAATCAGTTTAACCTGAACAGGACGGAAGGCTTTTAAAGAGTCTTGAAATGACTCCTGAGTTAGATTAAGAGTCGAGAAGACCCCCTGAGCTGAATACCATTTTGCCAGTCAATTATTCTGCCACAGCCGCTTAGGATAACAGCATGGCAGGTGTTTTACTTGTACAAACAGTCATGGGTCAAAATCAAACCTAATCACAAAATTTAGTCTCCAAATAACTGCCTCACAACTGAAAAAAGTTAAGCAGATGAGTCATACTGATTAACTACAGAAAAGACATACGTTCAGTCTTCTAACGTAGGATAACTTGCTGTATTTTGCATTAAGGCTACCAACCCTGTTGCTGTGATCACTGATCTTGATGATGGGCTCGTTCTTTCTCAGGTCCCACACGACCGCCTTCCCACTGGGGTTGGCCGAGGCCAGGATGTGCTGGACCTGCCTGTTCCAGGAGACGACGCTGATGTCTTCGGCAGGCTGAAGGAAAAGAGACAAAGAAGAAGCTAAACAACCCAACAGTGAGTCTGAGGGAAACAGATTGTGTATTTTGGCTTAACAGCACAGAGGTCCTGATCAAGATAAAAAGCCAGTACCACGAGAGAGATCTCATAAACCACGTTAAGTCTCATCATGCACCCACCTGTGTCTTTGCTCCGGGTGTCATCGGACTGCTAAAGTTGTTTAAATCCCAAATATATATCTCTGAATCATTTGCTCCTGAAGCGAGGAGATTACTCTGAAAAAGAAATCAGTTAAGAAAGAAGAATCACTGAGATGTGCTGTTGTGTGAATCGTGTCTACTCATGTAGCGGGTTATTAGCAGATGTTTACCTGAAACGGGTTGAAGTCGAGTGCTCGGACGGGTCCTGTGTGTTTCTCAGACTGACCCACGATTGCCTCCGGGCCAGAGCTCATTATGGCCTCCGGGTTATAGACGGTCAATGTGCCATTTTCACTCCCACCAACCAGCCTTCCTCCAGTACCATCGGCTCCCATTCCAAAATTTACCCATACAATACTGTGCAACCTACAGAGCACGGGAGACAGAGTGAGTTAGTCGCACCTAATGACTGTTTCATTTCTAGAGGGGACTGCACACTGGTGCCAAACCACCATGTTCATATACTCTTCAGTTAGTGTTTTAAGCAAATAGCTTTTCGATTGTCTCAAAACACAAAAAGCAGAAATTAACGGTGTGATTCAAAAACGAGCAACACAAAAAAACTGACTATTTTTGATTTTCCAAACTGCCCATTTTTCCCGTATGAACAAGGGTCAACTAAATATTGGAAACACATCTCTGTAAACTGTTGTATCCTTAAACAACACCACAAACAGCCTCAAAATGACCACAATGTGCAATCACTGCTTCTCTAAAGCAAAAAAATGAAGTTAAACTCAAACCTAAACCTCATGATCTCCATGACACTGGACTGCATTTATCTATGTGGTACAAATAAGCTGGCAATGGGGGGTACAGCGGTGAACTGTCGAAAATATTGAGTCTTATCAGGACAAGGAATATAAATAAACTCCAATACATGTACCGAGACATCCAAAAACAAAATGTGACAGTCAGAGTCTGTGGCTTGAAAGCAAAGAGTTATAACAAAACATCACAGTTTCCCTTCTCCATGATGGCTGACGTGAACGTCACTGGAAGAACTTCCAAACTTGCTGTAAATACAAACAACAATATCATCGTCTCTCTGAGTTACCTGTTCGTGGTGGGTAATGACCCTTTGAGCTGCATGTCCAGAGAGGGGTCTGAAAAATCCATCTCAAATATCTCTATGGCAGCTGTGGTGTTGAAAGAGGCATCCAGCTGTTGTGCTGATGTCCCTAAGGCCAGGTAGACAGGGTGGTGTTCGGCAGGACTCCACGCCTGGTGGGCAGTCCTCTGGATCTCCTTCAGCCTCATCTTCCTCTACTGGTGTTCAAGTTTAATACCCTGGACAGGTGAACATAATAGTTGTGGCATGTCAATAAATAATTTAGTCTACTTTAATTTAACTGTAGAAGCCAACACAATAATCTGCACTTCCAAATCCAATACTTTGTAGCTTGGCTGACACAGGGTGCCACCCTTACTGACAGACTGCCTCTGACTATTACCTGCAGAAGCAATATTAAACCCACACAGCTCTCTTCCATCCGAGTTAATGAGAGCCTATTTTGCCAATATTAGTGGTTAAATACATCGTAGTGAAATTAATCTAGCTCCCGGTGACACTGTCTACATTACAGTGACACCAAGCCAGTTAGAAACGAATTAAATGTAAGCTAACCTGACATGTAGTTAGCTTAGCATTTCGCAACAACACACGTAGCGTTAGCTTCCGTCAGTCAATAACATTATGCACGGGGAATTTGACTACAGCCATTACCTCAGCTATCACGCTCTCTACCTTTTTGAAAACTAAAATATCGTCAAAGACGCTACACGGATTTTAAAAAATCCTCTGAGCTAGCGGGCTAACGTCAAGCCGGCTAATTCCAGTGCATAACCGGAGCCGATGTTCATGTTAGCCAGCTAGCTAGCTACCAGCCACCACCCCTGTTAGCATGTTTTCAACAGAAACGAGACGTACTGTGCATCAGGTGTGTTCACATTCAGCAATAAAGATGAATTCAGTTTGGTGAGTAACTTACGTCAATTGCTTGTATCACACCGTGACTGTCCGCATCTACAGCAGATCGGAGAGCTACTTATCAGCCAAGCTAGCAGCTCAGCTACAGACGGAGTCCGACCAAAGTGCTTTGCCGTGTTGTCACTACTGTACGGCGGCCGACACGGACATTTCTCATTGCGCATTGACCTGAAGTAACCCCAGTTGACCCAGTCACAGTTGCCGCAAAAAAAAAAGGAATATTCATCCTTTATAGACATCTATTCATAACTAGAAATACAAGAACTTTCGTAACTGCTCTGTGTTATTTGACAGCAGAATTTCAGCCATTTTAACACTTATTATTTATCTTTGACAAAGTTGGAATTCTTCCCACATACAAAATAACACACCGCTGAGACCCCACTTTCAGCTGTTAAGATAAGTCTTTATTTTTGACAGGAACATATATGTACAAGTAGAAGCAGATTGTAGTCATTAGAGTTCATAATTCTTGACTTCCTCTGGCTGTTTCTCAGGATCTCCTCCTTTTTCCAGGTACAGGTTGTTGTAAGGATATTGCTTCGGGCCCTGAGACAGAAACAAAAAGTGCACATTAGCACAGAGAGAAACAACTGAAAGCAACTCTTCTATGGGTATTATGTTGCAAAAAAAATTGTCATATCAAAATACACCTTTTTACTATTTATTTATCATCCATCCATCCATCCATCATCTACACACCGCTTAATCCTCAGGGCTGCTTTTTATATTAAAAGTTGTGTAGACATTACAGCAGGACAAATGACTAGAAAGAGTGAACACAATGCCCAAGGTCCTTGATTTTGTTTCATATACACATCTAGTCATAGCCACAACATTTTCCCACAACTTGAAGCAATGCCAAATGTGAGCAGTAACTTTCATAACTAAAGCCATGTGCTGTCATCGTACCGCTAAGGCACAGTTCAGAATGCTATTATGACCAATACACACGGTCAACAAAAAGAGAAAGAAAACAGGGAGACTTGGACAAAAAAGCAAAAGGTATTTGAACTCCATTCATCACAGGGGTTTTGTATCTCGCCAAAAGAATGGCTAATTTACTCTGTAAAATAAAGCTGAATACAATAAAACCATTAAACAAATAAAAAATATACACATTTGACAAGGTTAACCTGTTGAAAATAGTTCGTACTACAAAAACATACATCCTAGAGCTGGTGTGTACTTACAACAGGTTGGTAAGATTTGCACTCGTACCCAACGTAGAACATGAATGCCATGAAGCCGAGGAAGAGGAACAGGTCCTTGACCATACTGTGATAAGGTACAACAGTTGGTGACGTGTCCACACGATTCCTGGTGTACATGTCGAAATCCCAGTGCATCTAAAAAAGGGAGAACAATCACTGATTAACTGTAGCTCAAACGCTTTACTTTGTCATTTAAGCCAATCGGTGACGACAGAGAAAAACTGCCTCTGTGGAGAAAACAACATCTCGGTGATGTTAAGCGGAACCTAGATATCAAAAAACACTTTACATGCAGAGGACTGATGTGATTTACCTCCAAAATATGGTTTTAATGTTGTAATCTAAATTAGCATCCAGCCAGTCCAGGCACTGATATGTAAACAACATCTTCAGATTCTTTGCTCATTCCTATGGCGACGCCAACAGCCGGAACCAAATTCCATGTATGTTGTGTACATACTCGGCCATTAAAGCTGATTCTGATTACATAATAATATGCACATGTTGTGTTTTTTTTTAAATTGCTGTACTAATAAATATAAAATGTGCAAGAATAAATGGGTAAATAATGTGGGAGAACACTGAAAAACAAATTCTTTAGTCCAACTAATGCAGCATTTCTGAGTCTGATGCCAACATTGAGTTGAATCATCCAATAACAATATACTCGCACCGACACACGCTCAATATTTTTTTAATAAATACAAAGCATCTCGTTTACTGAGGGGTGCACTTTAAGCCCAAGAGGGTTACTTACAAACAAACAAACAAACAAACAAACAAACAAACATATAAATACATACATAAATAAATAAGAGTTAAGACGTGAAGCCATTTTTGGATTTGGTTTATCATATCTGGCTCATGCATGGCTGTACGAGTTTCACCACACAGACAAATTCTTAAAGTCTTTGGGACTACTGTTAGCACATAAAAGTAATGTAAATACACCAGTTTTGCAAAACTACTTTACTTGCATTGGAAGATAAATATGTAATAAATATGTATGTATGTATGTATCATATCTCATAATGATGCTATTTATTTTATCAGTGGTGATCTGTTTTAATTTGTTGCTATGGCGTCAGAGTGGCAGCCAGCTGCAGCAGCTCCTTCCTGCTTTCTGTGTTTTTGGCTATTTACTTTGGTTCTTCTTCTGTCTTTTTAATATTTTAAGTTCACACAGCTGCACCACATTTGTGCGGGAACAGTGGAGATGCAGATGGCGTTTTTGTTGGTTCTTTGCGAGTTTTTGGGGTCCGTGTCTGGCGAGCCGTTGAGCCATGGCTCCATTGTTTTTACGTTCGTGAACAGCTGTTGACACTGAGCCAGGCCACCGTCATGGGAGAGACGGACTCGCTCGTAGCTTTGGACGGATTTCAGCTGGTCAGAGTGGACTGGAGCTGGAGGGAAAGCAGTAAGAAGAAAGGCTGGGGACTGGCCATGTATGTGAATGAGAGATGGTGTAATGCTGGGCACGTTAGCGTTAAAGAGCGGCGCTGCACAAAGGATGTTGAACTGCTGGCGGTTGGTTTGTGGCCGTTTCACCTGCCGAGGGAGTTTTCGCACGTCCTGGCGGTTGCAGTTTGCATCCCCCCCTCAGCTAATGCCGCTGAACTCATTCATAGTTCAGTGTCCCAGCTGCAAACATCACACCCTCAGTCTCTGATCGTCATCTCAGGAGACTTTAACCATACACCGTTCTCTACCGCTCTCCCCACATTCAGCCAGCATGCGGACTGCCCAACCAGAGACGGTGGGGCCTTGGACCTGCTGTGTGCCGACACCAGGATGCATATTACTGAATTATTGTTATTTTCTTGTACTTTCTACATTTTTGGAAGCTGCTGTGGCGTGTAAATTTCCCCCAATGGGGGATCAGTAAAGTATTATTCTATTCTACTTTATTCTATTCTAATCTGGGAGGCGTGATGAATTAAAGTATGTCGCCTATGACACGTACATCACACTGATGATGTCATGGTCACCAAAAACTTCTGGTAATTAAAACCAGGTGTGCTGTAGAAGAGCATTCAGTGATGATCAGGATATTTATAATCAGACAAAGACACGTAGCAAAACTTTAACTTTATGCATAAAAACTAAACAAATAAAAAATCTCCACACTGTTTTTAAATGACCTGAACCACTGTATTTTTGTTCTCCTGTGTGTATTTAAAAATCCACAATACCAACATCAATATATATTTGCAACTCAATCAGGAAACAAACAAAAATAATAATTGAATAAATGTCATCAGTCTCTTACGGTTTCTCCCCAGTTCCTCCTCAGGTCAGAGTGGTCCCATGAGTACCAGGGGTCTCTCTCATGCTGGGATTTGTTGGGTAGCATTGGGTAGTCTCCATAGCTACAAAAACACAATGATGACATGTAGTGACCCGTCACACTAGTGGTTTCGTAAATAGATAGTGAGTTAATTTCATAAGATAAACATGAAAGATCTGCAGACTCTCCGGATGGCAGCATCTCCAGGCTCTCACACAATAACACAGAGGCCTCATTTACAGCATAACCGAGCACTGCAAAGCAAATGCGTGCAGTTTAAACAACAGTGAACAGCAGCCTTTTCAGAATGACGCTCACCCCTCGCCTTTGTCGGGATACGGTTCGTAGTCCTCCGGGATCATGTTGTACTTCTTCGCGGCAGCAGCTCTTTCCTCGGGGGTTTTCGGGTACGGACCAGGTAGACTGCCTTTACCGACAGAAGAAGCTGAAAACAACAACAATAAATGCATATGCGAATGAACCACGTCGTAAATATAAAGCTTGCACGTTAAAAACAATGAAGAAACCACGTTATCCTCTCCGCCTTCGTCTTCATTCACAACAGCGGTCGCCGCTCACTGGAAGCTAAGCTAACGTTAGCTTGTCAAGGTTACGTCTTTTAGTGGCTTTAAAATTTAAACTCTGGCGTATAGCTTTACAGATATTCATCACACAACTTGATTAAAGTCTGACACACAACTGACCTGCTCTACTCCCCGAGATAAGGGCTGAAATGCCAGACCCTTTACCCTTTGACAGGGCTTGGGCCCACCGTCGGAAACCAACAACAGCCATAGTTACAGGCTCCTGCTGCCGGACAGACTAACGAGAGCGCATGCGCAAGATTGGAAGTATGGGTCGCCATAAGGTCCAATTCCGTGTCAGAATCTGTGAATATCATTGAAATTTTATGAGATTATCCAATATTGTGCATTTAATAAGTGTTAAAAAAAAACAACAAACAAACAACAAAAAAGTGTTTTTAAAGTTAATGTACATCAGATTTTTTTTTTTTTTTTTTTAAAGTTCTTCACCTACTGATAGTTTTTGTGATATAATGAATTTCCATTTTATTTTAGTACTTCTACTGCAATTCACTAAATGTTTTTACTTTTTACTCCACTACATGTATTTAACACATAGAGCTTCTTATTACTTTACAGGCTGAATTTACATGCATCAAAACATGTGAAAATCTTCAGAGTTGTGGCCCCTTGTTACCTTGCAGTGACAATTAAGTGTGTGGTGTTCGCAGTTCCATCCATCCATCCATCATCTATACACCGCTTAATCCTCACTAGGGTCGCGGGGAGGGGCTGGAGCCTATCCCAGCTGACTTAGGGCGAAGGCAGGGGACACCCTGGACAGGTCGCCAGTCTATCGCAGGGCTACACTTAGAGACGGACAATTTAGAATCACCAATTAACCTCAACATGTTTCTGGACTGTGGGAGGAAGCTGGAGAACCCGGGGAGAGCCCACGCTCCACGCAGAAAGATTCTGATGCCTCCACCGGGACGCGAACCGGCAACCTTCTTGCTGCGAGGCAACAGTGCTAACCACTGAGCCACCTTGCAGCCCATGTTCACAGTTATACTAAAGAAAAATTTTCCCCCATACAAACTTCTCACATGACAAATCCAACTTTATGCAGAGAAATTAACAATCCAGAAATACTCTATAACAACCTTGTGTTTCCTTCCTCCTTCCTCCATTAATCATCTAATGACCCCTGATTTATCTTTTGACTCATTTGACCAGCCAGATAAAAACCGGCTCCACCTCGAGCACCAACAACAATAAAATACTTCTTGTACTCTAATGCATCAGTGTTAACAATCTATTCATGTTATATAGACTGTTATATGTCAGTGAGATCACATTTTGAACTAAGATATATAACTCATAACAGAGTATTTTAACAATATTATGAAGATAATTTTAATAAAGTAAAAAAATGTAAATATTACATCACTGAATAGTAGCTGCGAGATGACCCATTCAATATAAGAACGTCTGTGAGAACAACAGTAACCACAACCACCTGAGCGTTGCCTTATGTATGTTTTATTCATGCATTATTATTTTTTTGGGTAGCAGATACCATCACATTGGGGAGAAATAAATGCGACAGTGACATGAAAACTCCTCCAGTGGCTGAAGGGAACTTGTTCTCGGAGTGAATGCACCGAAGCTCCGAGGCAGGTTCCTCTTTCCATCAGATCCAGCTCAGGTGCACGTGTGCATTTACTGGGGGATCGTCACTCTGCCACCGGTGACAACTTGAAGAAAGTCCATCAGAGAAGCTCCGTTATGTCCTTCTCGACTTTCTCGATGGGGCAGTGAAGATCATACCTGCAGTAAAAGAGAAAATGTTGGATTTTTTTTTTGGTAACAGTTACACCAAATAAAGAGTTAAACAATCTTGTGATCTCTGGTTTGTAATTTTACCTTTTGAAGGGCATGCCATCTGCAGTAATGAGAAACTTCTCAAAGTTCCACCGAATGTCGTTCACGTTTATTGGGGACCAGAATAATTTTTTCACATCTCCAACAACAGGGTTCACAAATGGCAAAGATTCCTGTGGCAAACAAGAAATTGCAGCATGTCTGGGTTTTCTGGGACAAAGCAGGCAGTGCTTACAAGAAAAATATCCATGATCATGCCATCTACTCATCTCATATCTTTAATATTCCTACTCGCACTGTACCTTTAGATAAGTGAAAAGAGGGTCTTCGTTTAATCCGTTCACCTCAACCTTGCCAAAGACAGGAAACTTTGGCACAAATCCTCCACCAGGTCTCACATACTTCAGAATATTGAGGGTTTCATGATTCACCTCTGCAATGGTACATTTGAAAAGGGTTGTTGTTGATGCATTTTAAACATGAAAAGCATTTGTCATATATCAAAGTGTGCATAGCATATCAAACAAATTGATTTTGTGCCAAGTGTTCAGATCCTTTAATTGGGTAAAAACCATCAGAAATACTTGGGTAAGGTCTGTTGTAGTCACTGTAGAAAAATGGCCCCTTTTATTTTATTTTGATCAGTGCAGAAGTTACTTGAGGTGGAGGTAGTTTTAACAATATTGTAGTTCAGTCCGGTTGTTGTCCTGCAAAGGCCCATAAGATTATTTTGGGGAGATAAATAACACAGTACAGGAGAGAAAATCCTCTGCACAACCTGTATGCATTTGTTCTGAATCTTTGCTTTGTCGACAGATACTGGGCCTGTATTGGTTACTTAAATGAATGAGAAATTTTGAGGAGAAATGACTCTTTGGTGGAACTGCTAGAGGCATCTGAAACACAAGAGGAACCATTTTTACTGTAAAGGGGTTGCAGTCTATTATTATTCAGAAGCACCAGTGTAATTTTTAACAAGCTATTGGATTTTATAGATGTATTAGATGTTTTTTTTTTAGTGTAAAATCTAAGTCTGAAAAGAATCTAGTAAAATATAACAGTCACATCAATGTGGTGGAGGTAAAGGTGTAATGTTTTCACTGGGAGTAGATTGAAAAATAACTTTAAAGTGGCATAAAATTGAAATGTACCTCAGCATTAATACATGACTTCAGTAAAAGGCCATTGTACCTACCAGGTGACTGAAGACCGAACTGGTTGCAGGAGAATCCTAAGACGGTGAAGTTGAGGTCACCGTACATTTCCATCAGTGCATTCAGTCTGTGGTACTGAAGAGAAGAGGACACAGAATCAAATCACTTCAATAAAATGACCGAACAGGTTATAAGTTACGAGCTAACGTGCTCTGGCTGTAATCACTCAGTGCTCTTGTAGAATATCACCTCCTCTATTGTTGACCCTCAGAAGGTGGCGACGTTGACGACGAGAAGCACTTTACCCCTGTAGTTACTGAGCGGAACCGGCCGTCCATCCAGGGTCTCAGCAGAGAAATCATAGATTGATTTATTCTCCATGCTTGTTCTGTAGCTTGTTTATGGGACTGTAGTCAGTCAAGAGTGAGTATTCACTCAGCTATCCTGTTGGCTCGTCTCATTCACTGAAACATAACTCATGGGTCAGCAATTGTTCAGCATGACTGACTTCATTGTTCTTGCGGCCAGAGGTGAGCGAGCAGGATGGCCAATTGTTAAACACGTGTATAGCTGAAGTAAAAATGGTGGCAGCTAATTAAAATCAGAAATCAAATACTTTAAAAAATAAACAAAATTCAGTCTGCAGTAGAATGCAGTCACTGTGGCTGCATCTTTTTCATATTTACAAACGACATTTACAAAGAGATTGGCTGTAAAATGCTATATCTGCACTGTTTTTACTCACATTTGTTCTTCTTTAAAAAAAACAAAATGTATGTATGTGTGTGACAGCAGCTTTCTAATTATGAGAGATTAGATTGTACCTTATTCATCACCACAAATGGGGAAAGTCTTTTGCTGCAGCAGTACAGATGCAGGAAAAGAGCACAAAATATTAACAAGTTAACTTAAGAAAAGCAAAAAAAAGTAGGAAAAAAGAAGAAGACAAATAAAAGTATAACTAGAAATAGGAAGAGCAAGTGTTTGTTTGTTTTGCTCCACAGTCTAAAGTTAATGCAAAGTAAAGCCTGCACACAGCTTCTTTGACCATTTATTTTTTCCTCCTCTTTTTTTCCTCCTGATAAGGTCACCACACAGGTTAAATGACACCAGTACTGTGATGTATAGACATACTACTGACATTGTTCTGTCAATGAAGTATTTTTTTTTTTTTAAATCAGCGTGAAACTAGCCAATGCACGCAAGTCCTTGACTCTAAGAATACCTGAGGTCTCTATAAACCATTTCAAAGAGTTATTTTATAACATTTATGGCAAATCAATGCATAAATTGCCTTGAACGTGCCCATTGACGTAAACCCGGAAAATTACCACTGGTGCGTTCAGGTGCTCCGTGTAAACGCCAAAGTCCGTCACTATCGAAGAACTAAACAATTGCTAATGATTCTTTTGCATATCAGCAAAAAAAAAATAAAAAATCAAGCATTTGCTCAGTAAAAAGGTGAAGGTAGTTGTTGTTTTAGTAAACAAAGCCCAGAATGGTTTTGCTTCACCAACAGAATGAATTGAAAACAGCATCAGATAAAAGAGACAACTTTTATTAATCGGAGCAGCTTGTGAGCTTATCATCTTTATCACCCTTTATCACACTTCCTGCCTTTTTCTTTCAACAAACGCCGTGAAATTAACAGAGCTTTAGGGATACTTTATGTGCCTCCCTCGCACGAATGTACGTATTTCCGACAGTCCCTGAAGGCGGCTTCGGGTTTTGGTTACACCTCAATCGGTTTGCAAGATGCTAAAGGAAAACACGTTAATTTGGTACCAATGTAAAGAACAGCGCGTCTTTCTAAACGCAGTCTGAAACAGCCGGCTCACAATGGACGAAGAAGCTAAAATGCCGACGTAAGTATGTTTTCAGGGGAGTTTTTGTGTTGCAAGAAGCAGCTGGAGCGGTTTCCCCGGCAGGCTAGCTTCTTGGCTAACAGCGATGTCTTGCGAGTCACAACAAGCGGCCGCTGAAATGTAGCTGCTCCCATTTATTTATGGCAGCTAGCCCCGGCTCAGCTGCGGCGAGGCTGACATGCCAGTGTCGTGCCGTTAATGTGAATTGCTGTCGTTATTGCTAATCTGTGAAGCATTTTGCCAACATTGCACTTCTGTTGTTTACGGTTGTTTCCGTTAAAGCGCCGCAGCACGCGCGGTGTCAAAGTTCAGCAGAAACAAGGTGTGCTCTTCAGCAGGTGTCTGCTGGACCTGCCCTGGGAGGACGTGCTTGTTCCACATATTTTGTGCCATTTGCCGCTGCAACACCTGGTCAGCCTGCAGAGGGTGAGCAAGCAGTTCCACAGCCTCATCCAGGTGTACCTGGCCAACTGCAGGACCTTTAATCTGTCCCCGGTAAGTGCTGATGGACGTGTCAGTCCCCTGCACCCACACAGGAAGTAGTATTTACCTGCATGACATGCTCTTGAGGAATCCTGCTTTGTTGTGGTGTTTCCAGATCGGACCGTGCATTCCCAAGGAGGCGTTTTGCTCCATGCTAAAGGACAATAAAGTTCTCCAGAACCTGTCACTGCAGAACTGTTCCGACTGGGTGACGGACAAGGAGCTGCTGCCAGTCATCGGCCAGAACCAGCATCTGCAGAAAGTGGACATGAGCGGGTGTGCTTGGCTCACCCGCCACTCCCTGGTGGCCGTGTCCTTGAGCTGCATGCACCTCCAGCACCTCGGCCTGGCGCACTGCGAGTGGGTGGACAGCCTGTCCCTGCGCAGCCTGGCTGACCACTGCGGGGGGCTGCAGTCTATCGACCTCACCGCCTGCCGCCAGCTGAAGGACGACGCCATCTGCTACCTGGCCAAGAAGTGCTTGCAGTTGAAGTCTTTATCTTTGGCGGTCAATGCCAATGTTACAGACGAGTCGGTGGAGGAGGTGGCCAAGAACTGCAGGGGCCTGGAGCAGCTGGACCTGACAGGTTGCCTGCGGGTCAGGAACCAGTCCATCAGGTATATATCTTATTTTCAAGTGTATTCCAACTGACTTTGTGCCATCCCTGTTCACACTTTGACATGCACCTCCTCAGCTGTTAAGATCCTCTGCATGCTGTGCTCACAGGACTCTTGCAGAGTATTGCCCGAAGCTGCAGTCCCTGAAGGTGAATCACTGTCACAATGTGACAGAGTCGAGCCTGGATCCTTTACGGAAGCGCAACGTAGTGATTGATGTGGAGCCGCCTCTGCAGAGGGCACTGGTACTTCTTCAGGATGTGCTGGGGTTCGCTCCCTTTATCAATCTCCAGATATAGCCAAAGGGCAATCTGTCTGTCCAACAGGTGCACACAGGTGGGTACGATCAGCAGCATACATTCTGCACTGTATGAGTTTCTGACATATTTATGTAGAAATCTGTCAACAAATATTGCCAGGACTCATCACACAATGAATTTATTACTAGCTTTTTCGGATAGGAGTGACACAGACGATGGCAGTGGCAGTCAATCTTTTTTTTTTTTTTTATCAACTATTGCCAAACTTTTTTTTTTCCAGGTGTCTTCATAACAGCAGCCAGTTTCAGCTGCATCACACGGACATGTATGAGAAATCAGGAAGACATGCACTCGTGTTTTTAACGGCAAAATAATTTGGACAAAAAAAAAATAGAACCCACTAGAATGTCATCTGTGATCCAAGTTTAAGATGGAGCCGACAATAAGCCATGTACTTTTAAGAATTGCTGCCTCGTGTCCAAAAGATGTCGCTGCACTGTTCCTTAATCATTTAGTGTCGTAATGTTGTGGCTTTATAGGAAAGCAGTTCTAACCAAAGTACGGTGTCTTGTTCTGTTGTTTTTTTTAAACAAAGTACGAAGCAATTATGTTTCATTTAGAAACATCTAAAAAATGTTTGAGTTTAATTAAACATTTTATTTTGCATGTACTGTATGTGCAAGCTTAAAGGGTCTATTCATCCCAATCTCACCAGAACATTCTATCACTTCCTATTACTTTGGTGTTAGTTTTATTCTGTTGACTATCTTCACTTCTGCTGCCACCGACCAGCGATGAAGGTGAATGCAGTTCTGTCTGCGGTTCTGACCACACGTCTTCCAGAAACGGTGGTTGCGGTCGAATAGTTGATCCAATTTGTGTCCTGTTTTGTTTTCTTAAACACTTTTCCTCGACCTTGATGGCAAACGTCAGGAGGTCGAGGAAAGGCGTGAAGGAGAATTCATAAGGACTTGGGGAAAAGACGGGCACGGCGCTGCGAGAATGGGATTGGACTAACGCTAGGCTACGTAGCCGTGCGGATGTTGTTCGCCGTGTCGAGGCTACGGCGTTCTGAAGATGGACTACTACAAGCACATTGTGGATACGTCGCCCTGCGTGTTGTTGCCGTGCTCTGTCATGCAGATGACTAAACAAGAATCCGGTGAAACATATTACCGAGGATGGACTTCAAATCAACAAAGACGTTTAAGTTGCCCGCCTCAAGGACGCTAAAGCTCAGCACCCTCCTGTCTGCACACATCCATGAAAACAGTTGTTAAATTTATGCACGGCTGTGTCAGACCTACAAATCAACCGCTGTACATGTCACTCTTACATTTCAACCACGGTGGGGTGTCGTCTGGCTTAGAAAACACCTTGAATGTTGCTGCAAGGAATTGTGGGACAGCATTGTGTCTGGTTGCTCTGTGAAGGATGGTCCAGTAAAAGAAAGCAGTGATCCTGTGCAGTCAGAGAATCAACCGGCTCTTATCACGGCTGCCGTTTCTGGGTTATTTCACTCAGTTCTAAACTTTCCTAATCAAAAATAGTCTATTCAGCCGCAGCCAGTGTCCTGGTTCCTCAGGATGATCCACAGACCTCACCGTTTCCTACTGCTTCCCAGTGAGGCTGTTTGCATGACACGATGTGAGATAAGTGGACAGATATCACCATTTTTTTGTGACGTGAGTGAAGTAACCCTTTAATCCACATTGTTAATTAATGCATAGCCTTAGCACTTGTCTGATATACGACTGTTTCCCCCGTTGAGTCTCCAGAATGGATTTTGTAAAAAGTTGAACGATGCTGTTTCCCTGTACCACGGTGTGTGACTTCTGTAAGAAACAATAAAGTGTAAAACACCACCAGACACGACTGCTGTCAGTTTTCTACTGCATGAAAAGGTCAAACTGTTTCTGTTCACAATCCAACTTTTATTTCCTCTCCTGTAGAAACACCTGGTTAAACATGGGGAGGGGGTCTTGTTTTCAAAATTTGTGCAGAGATGCTAAAAATGTGAGAAGAATTAAGAATTTCGTGATTACGTGAATATATATATATATATATTTCGTGAAATATAAGTTTATTTAGTCTTGGTTGAATTCGTGTGGACGTCATCTGGTTCAGGTAAGTATGAGGTGAAGAACTGAAAGACTTAAAGAGCAGAGTTTTAGGCAAATGACAGCAAATCTGAATCGTCTTGAGTGACCCTGATGTTTTCCTCTGAGCGTCCTAATCAGTGAAAACTTGTATGTGAAAAGCACAGTTCCTTTAATTTCCAGGACTGTCAAGGATAAGAGGACACTGTCAAAGTACTTGTGTTTTAAACTGACACAAGGTGGCAGCAATGAGTCGGCCTAGCCGCTGTGTGACTAGCGTGACTCCTAAACGGCAGCAAATGAATGTGATGCTTTACGCTGTTAAATATGTCTTGATGTGTGTGAACAGAAATCCGCGTCTCTCTCCTTATCTGAGATTTAGAAGAAGAGTTTAATGTTTTATTGCTTAAGCAGACTGCGAGAAGAAGCTTTATGATCTTGTTAACAACCTGAATGCACAGCCAGAATAAACACTTCCCCCCTTGTTGTTACAGCAACTTGTTAAAAAGCCCTTCGTACAGTTTCCTCTGGTGGTCCAATTGGCAGACTATATTGTAACTTGTCTCTGTGACAACACAACAGGTCTATTTTCCACTTGATGGCATGGTTTACCCCATCTGCTGCGTGCCGTCCACGAGCTGAATGTGCACCGAGAGAGTTGTGCTTGGAGGGGCTTCAGGGATCGACCGGCATCCTTCTGTCGGCTGTGCTGATCATCATATTGTACCGCTGTCCCTCAGAGGAGGCTTCACGGTGTCATTAGCTATAAGGTAAGTCTTGAAATTTCAATTCACGCCGCACACGATGATGCAGACGCAGCAGAGGTTTGTCTCCTCAAAGCACAACAACGCACAACAGACGAGTCCCATTATCATTAGACAGAATACTCATATTCTGCAATAATAATAAGAATAGAAGTCATTCAGTAGCGGCCTGTGCTTGTTCCTGCTCAGCAGTCAGCGGGTTAAAAACGTTTCAGACTACATTCATCATGTAGGACCTCAATTAGCATTGATCTGCAGGGGGGGAAAGAAACATTGCTACCATATTATATAGCACGGAGCAATTTCTGTTCCAGTGATTGAGTGTACGGGGGGATTTCTCAAACATAGCCGGCCCTACATATTTTGTCTTCCTGTCAATAATCTGGCACTTGTCTAAATTATTGATCAATAGCGACTGATCATTTTATACCGAGGCACAACAATGGGAGCTGCCTCGCTCTGCTCACTATGCAGCATTAGCTCCTGGCACTGTGTAATATATTAAAACGGAGAATAAATCTTAAGTTTAATCTCTGGCTGCTTTCGGACGGAGTCCTCGCTGACAGAGTAACTTACAGATGCTGCTCAGGAGTTTGATTTATGACTGTTGGGGCAGAACGAGGGCTGAAAACAGGCCTTTTTCAAAGCAGACATTATGAAATGTCTCAGTAGAAAACACACCTAATAATACTAATGATGGCTCTGTTTTACTCAAATATCCCACCGAGGAGCTCAGTTTATCATTTTATGTGAACAGTGAGTCCCTGTTTTCACTAAGCTTGCTGCTAAAGGTTGTAAAGCAGGTCCATAAACTAATAAACTTGAGCTGCAATGGTTTTACCTCAGTTCTGATTCTAAAAATAATAGACACAAATTCTAACCTATATGTGCTATTTGTTGATATTTCACTTCCTGATCCTTGTTTTGAAGAGGAGAATAATAATTCCTTGTACAAGATGGCTTTAAGATCTTCTCGCTGTAGCTGTTTGATCTTTATTTAGATGTGTACAGTTTAAAGAAAACAAAAAAAGAAGTCAGCACAGTCTCTGAGTCATCACCTTGTGACAGGAAGCCAGAAACACCTGGACCCTGAAACAGCTAAATGGGATTCATCCGTCTCTCAGTTTGTTATTTACACTTGTCAGACATGAAAGTTTTTTTTTTTTTTAAAAAAGGCCAATTGAAGCTGTCGTGTTCAAAATCTGGTGTCTCAGTTTATTTTTTTGGTTTGGAGTCAGAAGGAATCTGAGGAGACAAATTAGTCGTTCTGTCAGATCTGTTTGCTCCTTTTTTTCCTTTAAAATCTGAATTTAATTTTGGAGGAGACAAGTTTATTCTCTGACACCAAACTGTACATTTACAGCAGGCATGTCCAGAGTGGTAGGGATTTCTTTTGTTGTTTTGAAAGCGCGTTTAAATGACAAATCTTTCTTTATTCTACCAAGACACGAGGCTCATCCTTCCTCACGTATATGGAGCATCATGAACATGTAAAGCAAAGGGTTAATACATTTTAACATGTTGACTGAAGACAAGTAAACGAGTACAAATAAATGAAACAAGTAAAAGTAAATCGTCAGTGTCATTCACTTCTGAAACATGGCAGTAAACAAAAAGGAAAAATTCTGAAAGTAATGTTTTAATTCATGTATGCACAAAAAAATGATAAATAATTTCACATAAAGGCAAATCTAAGTGTCTCTGTGCTTTAAATTTCATCATCATTTAAATATTCTATGAATAAAGTAGTAAAAATCTACAGAAGTGCATTCAATCTACTTGAACAAAACAACTTTTTATTTTATTTTGATGCGCTTCTGAGGGTTTTTCCTCACATTTAAATATGCGTTTGTCCTCCGTCACAAAGCATCCAGTCAGTCAACAGACGTGGATGTTGGTTTTACTTCTAAATAAAAGCTTTTTTATTTTATTTTGGAAACTCAAATGACAAAAAGCAGTTTTCATGCAATATCAATCACCTGAATAACGAAGCAGGAATTACCCAAATATTTTTATTTTTTTTACACAAATGCAAAATATTATTTTCATCTTCATGGAAAAACCAGATCCTGTTCAGGAAATAAAAAATAATCAGAAATTGGTTTCGGATACTTTTCAGCTCTCTGTTAATTAAATGAAGTTCATATAAGGTGAAGAGAGAATTACTGTAGCTGCTCAGATGGGCCCAAAACTGTGTCAGAGATTTTGTTCATTTTCATATTTTTAATTAACAGGCTTTTCCCCTCGTCTTCCATCAGTGAATGAGTCTTTCTTTCATTTATTTGATGTAGTTTATCTCCTCCAACCATTCATATACAACCTTATTGGATCCCGGGACTTAAGGATCCATCTTTTGGCCACCAGAGAAGCATAACTAATGACAACATTAAAGTGCCTTTGTGAGCGTGGCCATCAAAATGTCGATCAACCAAGCAAGAAATAATGTTGGATTTTAAAATCAGCATGAATAAACATGTATGTTTAGGATCTGCGTGGCTCAATTTGGAGAGAAGGTGTTGACGCACTTGTGGAGGATGCTGATGAGCCGACTGCCTCGTCGGGGGTTCATGTGTGTGTCACGGATTTTAATCATAATAATAATAATAAAAAAAATAGCAGACTATTATGTGCAGATTTAGGGCAGACAGAGTTGTGTTTCCAGCCTGTGAGTGGAGTGAATGACGATGCCACACAAGACGTCTTGGGGGTGCCGTCTAATTGAAGCGACGTTTGAAGCTTTTCTAGGACTCGGAGCTGTCAGAGCCATTAGCATCGTCCTAATTACTGCGCTTCAAACCGCAGACCGGACAGGAAGCACACGGTCAGTTAGGACTCCACATAGCTCGCCTCTTCATTAAGACATTTTTGTCTTTTTCTTTGAATGAATGGAGTATCGCCGCCCGTGTGACTCACGGCTGCTCGGCTGCAGGGAGTCGCCAGTTACTGTTTGGGAAGAGCCCGTTTTATTCAGAGAGTCTCCAACGTTTTCACTTTGGTGCAAAAGTACTGCCATGAGTTGTAGTTTTGTAAATTTCCATTTACCTAAACTTCCTGCTAGTTCTGTGTTTTTGCGTCCTCTGGCTGCCAGTCCTCTGTACACCTCTGTTTAATGCTAAAAGGATCCGTCTACAAATAAACTAATTGGTCAGTTAATCAGCAGAAAACGAAACGACAACAGCTTTGACAGTTGATTAATCATTCGAGTTATCTGTTGAGCAAAAATGTCAGACGTCCGCCGTTAGCAGCTCCTAAAACGTGCAGATTTGCAGAAGTTTTAAGCATTTGTTGGTGATGAAATAATAAGAATAAAGACAAATGTTGGTGGCCTGTTGTATTGTAGAATTGGAGCGTTTGCTGCACGCTTTTACAGGGAACTGGGAATTTGTACAGCTGACCAATATGTGTTCATACAATTCACTCTTACATCTTGTTTTGACGGCAGTAGCATAATGATTGCAAGTAGTTTCATCTACCCATGTTATTCAGATAAGCTCAGATCCCACTTATCACGTCCCTCATGTGCTCATTTGTGATTACATTTGGTCTTTCTTTTAAGTAACTTGAGCGTCATATTCCTTTTCACAATCTGCCCCGACTCCTCCGTGCAGTCGCCAACTGGTTTTCTCACAGCTGCAGCATGTGGCGTCATAATAATTGTAATCCTAATTGTGATTATTTTCCTCCCTGAATCAAACTGGTGAATGGTCGGCTGAGCTGATCGGTGAGTCACGGCTTAACCCGGCGTCCCCCTCGTACACCAGACAGTCGCGGCGGCTGGTTGGCTCCATTTTTAACGGATGACTCGCAACCTTTTTTTTTTTTTTTTTGCGCCGTGAAGTTTAAGCTTCCTCCTCCGTCTGGATGAAGGTTTACGGGTGAACAAGTTGTAGCACGGATGTTACTGAAGCAACTGTTTTCTGTTTATTTATTTATTTTTAACCTTCAGTACTTTGTTTGTAAAATGGATGGATTACTCGTCTGCTGCAAACCAAATACACCAACAAACA